CACATGGCCATATATACACAAATTGCGTAAAGGGACATCTGTACTCTGAATATTTAAAAAGAAAATGTCATGGCATACATTCAAGAGAACAATCATACCCTGACGGGAGAGAAGGATTGAGAATAATTTTTCATGATATGTTTTATTGGATGTTATAAAATTGGTTCAAGAATGTAGTCAATGAAAGCGTCGAAATGGATCAAGCGTGCGTGCATTAATGTTTACCATATGCACGGAGAGTACACTAGTGGTGATAACAACTGTCAATTTCACGACTTTATACTCATATTGTAAACCCATCTTATAAAAACAAATAATACATGTCTTTAGCTCGTGCATTCGTGATATACATTGCATTTGGTTAGATTACAATAAGACGGACAATGTAACTAATACACTCGCAAGCATGTACTATTTGTATAAGAAAGAGTGATGGACAGCGATTCATGGTCAGCGTATAATTTGTCACACATCATCAAATGCATACAACGGATTATTATCCACTCTCTTCAAACGTGTACATCAAGTTAGAGAAATACCTATTTAATGTGAATCGCTGCACTTTCAGAAACACACAAGGCACACAAACACGTATCTTCGCCCACTCATACACATCATCATTTACACGCACTAAAACTCATACAAATGCGCGTGCACAATCACCAACAACCACACGCACACGCCCACTCACGCGCACACAAACACCTTCACCAACGTCTAAAAAACATCCGTGCACACGCCCAAACACAAGTACTCAACAAAATCCACAGAAACTTTCTCATTTTGGTACGCATCAACACCAGAACCCATACGAGAAATGAATGATTAGTATTTAGATAAGTGTAATTCATTGAAATCGTGAGAGCACAATATTCATCCGTAATCATCTATTCTTCCAGTCAGTTGATATTACAGCACAACCTGTTATTACTATGGAAACGGACGTTTTTTCAATATTTTGTATTTTAGTTAATTGATGATATCGACCATACAAATCTCTCTGATAACGAGTCTGTAAACATTATGAATTTTGTCTTTGTCCTTTTACCTGCTACCTTTAATGATATCATTTAAATAGTTTTTAGACCCACTCCTTGAAATGTATTCATACGCACACGCACCACTCTTACAGAATATTTTTAATGGTGATTTTATTCATCATGAAATATGATATTTCACATGGCTTCAGCTATTTTAAAGATATAGGTGAGTACTATAGTCATACAGTTACATTGCAAAAAAATTATGTTTGACATAAGACTGTGTCCTGTGTAAGTTTTGGAATAATCAAAGTGAAAACAAGTGACTACATTTAAATGACCGTCGAACACACTCCACAAAGAAATAGGTATATGGAACTAGTTGGTCCAAAAATACAGCTATTTCTAGTTCTATTTCGAATGATGGAGCATTTTCAGAGCAATCATTTTTATGAGATATATTACTATAATATTCCTCCAAACCGACATACATAGAACGAGAGAGACAATAAATTATTTCTTTCCTTTACCAGAAATCAATCTTCTCTTTAAAGCCCGTCTGCACTAGTTTGACCAGGAGGGATTAAACCATCCAGCATGGTCACTGACAGGTGGTTATTTCATCAAATCAGCTCTCAATTAAAATAAGAAAAGGGAGATCATCATGATTGGGGACCAGCGGTCACCAATTGGGCATTATTTGCTATATGGAAGGCGCAAGTAGCTACAAGTAGTGCAGTCCCGCTTTAACGAGATTTGGATACAGACCATTTTCCCTCATAGAAGCTTTTCAAAAAATAAAAAAACATGCAATAACACTTTAATATCTCGGTATATATTTCATCCTTTATATAGTGAGTCAAGCAAGTAGAAAACCATAAAATCCTGTATCCTACAATTTATGAAAGACAATACCATCAACACCTAACTATAAAGTCATATGGTATATCTCTATAAAAATAAGATATTTGTAATAATTATTTTTTTAATTTACTACGCTATAATATATTCAACGACGATGTTGACACTAGCATAAGTATATATAAAAACAAAACTACAACCGCTATGTAACATTTTCTTCATATGAACATATTATATTTTCAAAACTTATATCACCTTTATTACAAGACATATTAATATATGATAAAACACATAAAATATTTTAAAGTAATGAAGCTATGAAATAACTTAATTAGGCCTATATCAAATGAAACAACATTAAATATCAATCAGCTCCAATTATATCATCATCATAATAGGGAAGGTGTTGGAAATTAGAGACCCTTAAAGAGAAGGTTGAGTTCTGGAAAGAGGTGAAAAATAATTTGTGAGCATTACTCATTCTTATTATGCAAGTGTGGAAGAACATCAGATAAGACATGTTCCCTGAAAAGCATGGCTCTTCAAATGCCTTCATATTCTAAATATGCATGTATCATCGTAAAAATCGGGGGGCCGGCTTTTTACGCCACGTGTTCGTGTAGTCCCATATACATCTTTCTGTGTACAGTGTTTGTAACTTTACCAAGACTTGGCCAAATTTCTTATCATTTTGATGATTCAAGAACCTTGCAATACACACAAATTCTTATATGTTAGATGATCAACCTTTTCTGGTCGGTTCCACACCGTTTCTTTCGCAATGCAATCGCATGACCAGAGCTCAATTTCATCTTTAAGCACATTTGCATAAATTACATAAACATGAAAAATGTTACACATACAGAAAGATTTGTATTCTCTTCAGTAACGTCTTCTCTTTATTTGGCAACAAAATTGTGGTCATCATGTAACTGATTAATAAGATATCAATGATTAATGACGCCATCACCAAAAGTCTCTCATTACCTACATGTGTAGGTAATAAGGGATAGTTACAAATCAAGACATTTTAAATATATTTTAAATGAAAATGGAATTGTAATAATTAGTTCAAACACTTTTTGACAGAGATACATGCAGCAAATGAACTTATTGTAATTTTAAAACAATTTAAAAAAAATATTTCTGTAGTTTTTTTATTACAGCAATAAAGGTGCTTTAAATTATGTTTAAATACTTTCAGAATAATGTTCTGGCAATGTGACTTTCACATTGAACAAACTAACAGCATAGAAGCAACTTCTTAAAATGAAATGCATTCAAATTAGAATGGTGACACGAACAATCAAATATGTTTCAATATGAAATGAACAACTGGTGGAAAGTAGGCCCCCATCTTGGACCTGGTGTCCCCGATTGCCTACACACGTTTCTGATCAGACACCATTCATAATGTGCATTGCAACACCCAATCACAACACACAATGGCCATAAGTTTTCTATGATGGTTGGCACACTTCATAAACTTCCTTTAAAACTAATTTTTAAGAGCCACCCCTAAATTTCTGCATACACCACAACATTCAGTGAAATTGTCTTTTTATATAAGATCAACATTGCTTATCTTGGTCAATTTGGCCAATTTTCTCGGAGAAAGAACGCATTGTAGTCTTCGAATTGAATTGGATATATGCAGTAGTATAATAGTTAAAGGCCACATATGGCGCTATAGCAATATTGGAGCCAACACAGACAGACGCTGATGGGTTCAAGGCAAGCTTGGTGGTCTCCAATTCACTACGGCCTCCAATTCACTACACCTTCCCTACATAATATATGCATTTAAAATCCACTTACATTTTTTTCTTTGTATTAGTTTTTTGTATTTAGGATTATTTCAAATTGCCGTGCATGGATAAACGAACGATGCTTGATGAATAAAAAAAAAATAGCGAAGACGCAACATATATATGGATTACAACCGTATCAATAACTTTGGTGCGAGTCAACAACAATTCGACTGCAGTTCGGTTCGGATTTAAGAAAAAAGAGATAAATAATCAGCCTAGTATAGTTCAGAAGGAGACCAATTTTATTACCTGAAATTATTTACAGAAAACGTAGTAGGTCCATGGTTTGGGCAAATAATAAAATAAGTTGTGAACTTTCTCTTTCTTCTCATGTTGAAAAGGCATACACTAGAAGAAACATACCATGAAAAGGATTACTCATAAAATCCCCTCATATCTCAAATAATTATGATAAGAAATGGAATAAAAATTGTGAGCAAACTTTCTTGAGACATGTATGTAGGTCTTTAAATTCATTTCAGTGTGCAGTACATGTGACTTCAATTTCTTTCAATTTATATAGCTAAAACTTAAAACAGTTTACATCAATTCTTACTGTACTACTTAATCAATCTTTCCCAATAAGTGCCACAAGTTTTTTTTCACAATTAATTTAGATGAAAAGTACTCAATAACATTTATAAACATTAACGACATTAAAAAAAAGCTAAAAGGCTACATCAATGTACATGTTATTATTTACATTGATCTACATTTGCCACACTCAACCCAGGTGATGTAAATGGGTACCTGGGAGGACTTAATTCCTTGAAATGCTGGAGCGCTGTATACGGCAGCAAGGCTAAAGCCTGGGTAATAATAAATGCGCCTCGAAATAGAATTTCTAGATAGACGGCGCTATAAAAATGCCTATTATTATTACAATTATTATTTCCATTTTCCCCACCACTAAACTACAGATTTTCTACTGAAAAATTCATTGTCAAGAACAACATTTGTTAAAAATTATGCATCAAGTTTGAATATGTTAGTAAACCATTTTTTCACGAGAGGCTGCAGCAGCTAGATCAAGAACTGAGTTTTTGTATTTGTATCTTGAAAATTATTTTCACATGCACCCTTCCCCTACGACATACTCTACCTTGAAGGTTAAAGATAGCACACGATACCGAGATACAAGAAGACTTTAACATTTTCAATGAGGCTTGTTTCTTGAATTCCATTAACCGTCATATTTGTATCACTGGTAGGTTTTAGAAGGATCAACCTTGCACGAATCGCGGCCCAGGGAATCTCGAAATAAACAGCACCCCTGCAAGGATTTGAATACTTTTCTTTAACTCTAGTTTCTTTACCCCATTGCTTACAATATCTGGCGCTTCTTCACCAGAAATATCATCTTCGTTGCTGACGTTCCTGATCAGCGGACATAGCTCCTCATCCGTCAGTGTGGCAAGGGTCCTTCCTCGAAGATGTATTGGTGTCCAACAGGTCAACGTGTTTTCGTTGGAACGCATGTACCATCTGTACAATGGACGCAGGGAACAGTCACAGCGCCAAGGATTGGGATCGAAAGAGATGGAACGAGAGACTACTGGCAGGGTCAGGGGTGAGATATTGACAAGGTCATTGTTACCGAGCAGGAGATCAAAGTGGCCCATCTTCACAAGTGCTTCATGGCCGATGACCTGAAGGTGATTGTTCTCGAGGTTTACCAAGACAAGGTGCACGTTGAATCTCAGTGCATGCATTTGTATGCTTGTTATGGCATTACCCTTGAGATTCAAATACGAGATTCTTGGTGTCAACTTGAAAGAATCCCGCTCCAGAAGGTTGATGTTATTAAATGACAGATCTAGTTCTGCAACATGCATCGCTTTAATTGATGGAATGGTGATAAAGGAGTTGTATCGTAGGAATAGTTCCCTGTCAATTGCCAACGTGAGATTAAGTGGTTCGTTGCTGGCACCACGTCGATGGAAGAGGGTCACATTATCCATGTACAGCGAATGAAACATGTTCTTACCTTGCCGGGAGAGCAATTGTTCAAAGGGCATGTAAAGAATCATTGTGTGCGATATTGCCAGTGATACAAGTTTAGGGAGATTCAGGAATACGCTCATCTCAACTACACTGATAGGATTATCAGACAAGGAGAGGGTCGTGAGCTGATCACAACCTTCGAATATGAACGAGGGTAGGTATGAAATCAAATTCGAATCGAGATATAAGCCCTTTATCCTACACGCCAAGTGGTCAGTAGTAGCGTTTGCCACGGAATGTTGCGCAGAAGGGACAATTTTCGTTAAGTTTTTGATTCTATTTTTTCGGGCATAAAGAAATCGAACGGTGGATGTATACGGTAAAACTAAAACTGGCAACAAATTTCCATCAAATACACATGTTATTGCTGTGTTCGAATTAAACTCGCGAGTATTCACGTTGGATATCTGGTTGTAACTCGTATCCACAATAGATAATCTTGGTAAATTATTCAACATGTCAAACATTGACAAATTGTTGTTGTGCAGCAGGACCTCGGTAAGAGCCAGACTGCCGTTCAATGTAATGTTAGTCAGCCCATTACTAGAAAGATCAATTGAAGTTAAGAATTTGAACTCCAGATCATTAAGAAAAACTTCTTGTATTTTATTATTTCTCAATTCGAGAATTATCAAATTTAAAAATTGCGATAAAGCTGGCAATATAATTAATCTGTTATTATTCATCTTAAGTATTCTTAAATTATTACACCCCAGGAAAGCAGTTGGACTAACGTAAGCAATGTAGTTATCGGAAAGTGAAACAGTTTGCAAGTCAGTAATATTCCGGAATCGTTCCACCTCAGATATCTTATTATGTTGAAGATATACAGTAACCAACTGCAGTTGTTGAAATAATGTGGGGTTGTGTCGGTTGAATGCCAACACATCGTTCTCATTCATTTCAAGGGTTCTTATATTTGGAAAAGATTTGAGAAAATTAAGATCACTGAGTTTATTCCCATTCAGTCTTAAAGCGAAGACAGAATCGATGACAGCATAGTTTAGACCCACCCCATCCGGACGCGCTGTTTCTAGTACGGAAATATTTGTAATATCATTGTACGCAACGTTAAGATATACGAGGCTTGGGAATATTGTCTTGTTAACTTCTAGTGTACCATGAATATCGCAATGGGAAAGCATTACGTATTTAAGTCCGTCCATTATAGGCATGTGGGATACGTCTTGTAAGGAATTGTTACTCAAGTCAAGGATCGCTAATGCGTCAGTGTCACCAAACCCAACAAGTGACTCAATGCGATTTCTACCTATCTTGAGCACTGTGAGGCTTTTGCCAAGCCTGATCTTCGGAAGAGAGCTGGGTGGGTTGTTGTCAAGTGACAGAGATTTGAGCTTTTGTGGTATAACATGGGCAGCTCTTTGGATGAGGTTGTTTTGCAGATCTAGAAGCTCAAGGCGGGGGAGACCACTTAGATCTGGTAGAGACCTGATGAAGTTGTTTCTCATGGTGATCGTACGCACAGCATACGCTGTCTGGGATTCTGGTATGTCAAAAACCCTGATCCCGCATGAATCGGCAGATAGATCCGTGATGACAACACGACTGTCTGCAAAAGATCTAATGAAATTGAGGGATAGGTCAAGGGAATCGAAACCCACAAAGGGAGAATCCTTGATAACCAATGACTGGATTAAATTTGATGCCGCGATCAAGGAGATCTTCGGGAGAAGGCTCATAAAACTCAGGTCAGTCAGAAGGTTGTTAGACAGGTACAACATGGTAAGAGCCGACATGTGCTGAAATGCATGTGGTTCAATAATAGATATGGCGTTGCGGTTTAGGTTCAATCTTTGTAGGCTGGTCAGGTTTGGAAAGGATTCCGTCTGGATCATACGAATGTTATTTCTAGATAGATCGATTCCCCTAATTTCAAGAGATATGTTGGCAGTCGGAACCTCGGTACGTAGTTGATTGCAACAGTTGACATAGGCAGATGAACATTTACATGATGTTGGACACTGCTCTCCTTCCGGTTCCACAAACGAGAATAACAGCATAAACACAAATACACACATGTAATTGTTAGTGTTACACTGAACTCGCTTTACTTCAGCACAGAATGCAGGGTTGGCCATTTTAAAATATGAAGGTTTCGTGTCTGAAATACTTGACCAAGAATGGCGACTGCAGAAACAAACGGGGGAAATGATAAATGTAGTACTCTGAAGACAGTTTTATCTAGAACTTCCAGATTTGTCCCTTATCTTTTATGCCTTCCTCGCGAAATATCCACGGAATTTCGTTTTCTTTTCTTTCTAGACAAATGATAAACATATCAAAAAAATTGTTTAACAGCTTGCATTGTGTCAGTGACACCAATAACTGACTTTAAAGAGTTTTATAGTTATTACTTCTTTGCCTGCGGATTTTTGAAAGATGAAGATAGATATATTTGCCAATTTTTAATGGACTTTATAAAGGCATAAATCAATTTTCATTATCGTTTAAAAGTGTACTAGCCTTTTATTAGTTGAATGACACCGATACATTGGGAGGGATGTTTTCATTAAGGCAGGTATTACGAAAAAAAGAGAGAAAACAGAATCAACAAAACCAAAACCAAAAAGTGTCTTTTAAGTCTTTGGCGGACATATTGGTAAATGCAGATTTAAGTTGCTCATAATAAGATCGGAAGAGGGTATTGAACCTCCCGAAGTCATTGACATTAAGAACACATCCATCTCCACTCAGGTTTTGTCAAGTGTAGAACCTATCTATAAACGCCTACAGAGGCAAACTGTCTGTTTCCTTTGTAAGAACTTTATAGAAAGGTTTTATTATAAAAACAGAAATAATAATAATAATAATAATGGGTTCTTGTATAGCGCTCATGTCAGTCAGATTTATCCCTCCTGGCGCTCCCGATTATTACACCCATTTACCAATCGATATTATTGGAACAGCTGCCAAAATCAACACATTTGGTTTTAATTTGTTTATCAATCTTTGGTTTTCCATTTCTGCAATTTGTCAACAAACCAATATTATATTTTTTAATCATGACAGGGTAAATTATTTTATTCCTTATTCGTATCTTTTAAATAGCGTCAAATTACATGAAATTACATGACTTTTTTGTTATTGTAGGTGTTATGTAGTAGTATTTGTATATTTGTAAAGCGCTTAGAGACATTTGTATTAAGCGCTATATAAAACTTAAATATTATTATTATTTAAACCGCTCGTAGGTATCTCTGTTGCATGGTATGCATTTTGAACATTTCTGAAGTTCATTACAATCTGAAACATTGAGGATTATTTTTAGTTGTAGCCATTGTTTACGCTAGTTGCACAGCGCCCTCTTCAGGTTCCTGCGTACATACAATCTTTGGTTTATGTATACAAAATATTTCGTTCCTCTGGTGCCATAATACGGTACGTGTACACAGAGCGGCAATATATATTTATATTATACTTGCAATTTATAAGTTTTTGCATCGTGCTTTTTTTGTGCTTTTCATGTTAAGAAAATTGGATGTAAATAGCAGACCTTCTGTGAGCAGTTATTTAGTCAATATGTTTGTTTTCTTTTCCCGGCATCCATGAGACTCACTTCACACTTTATCGTATAATATTCACCGTTTGTTCAATGTTGTCTTTGCCAAATACTACCACTACTACTACTACTACTACTACTACTACTACTACTACTACTACTACTTCTACTACTACTGCTATTACTACTACTACTACTACTACTACTACTGCTGCTGCTGCTGCTGCTGCTACAACTACCACTACTACTACTACTACTACTAATAGTAAAAATAAATTGAACAATTTCATGTCATGGTTCTAGGGCGATAGGGATGGCCCGTTTGTCTGTTTGAATTTGTCAACGTAGCTTGCAGGTTTTTTTTCTTCTGTATACTCGGTACAAATTTAAGTTATATGGAATAAGTAGATTTCATATCCTAAATTTCGTTGCCTTCAATAGTATGAAGGTGATTAAAGGTACTATGTCCCATTTGCAGGCCAAAATAAATGACAAAGGTTTAATTCCAACGGTATTTCAAAGACAGTACTAATTTAGAACTTCCCTCGAAACGAAAGGGCTTGAAAATGGCTCTTTGTGGGAAAATAACGACCATTATATGTCTAATCGATTTAAGTGATTGCGATCACCTAAGTAATAGTCTGATTTTCAGACCCTTTTACTGGATGGTCGCACGTTGGGTGCTGCATAAAGATTCAATAAGTTTAACTTTAACCATAATACATGTACACGTACTGAGTTATTGATGTAGACAAATGCTCATGTACCTGTTACAGCTTAGTTTATGTATGCTATTACCCGCAAAGAAGAAAGATGTCAGTCAGTCATCCAATAGTGTCTGGCAGTGAAGTCTAAAAGGTAAACGGGTTTCCTTCTCTAGTCTGAATACTAGGACACTGCTAATGTTTACATTTTAAAGATATGACTTACATGACATATTCAGAACTCCCGGCTACAAAGTTTTACATAATTTGATGTAGGCTGCAAAAGGGACATTGTACCTTTAAGGTACCCATGATTTACGGGGCAAATATGTATAACAGTTGAATATAGGTGCGATTTGAAAGGCACATTAAATTTGTGTGTGTGTGTATGTGTATGTGTGCGCATGTGTGTGTGCGTGTGTGTGCGTGTGTGTGTGCGTGTGTATATTGGGTTTTTACAGACGTGTATCAATCAGATATGATTGTTTACGTCTGGGGACCGATCTTTAAACGTCACCATCCGAAAGACGTGATACAGTTTCGAACCTGCGTCCTCGCCTGAATCACTTTGTAACTTTCAGTTTGTAACTTCCACTATAAGCTCGATTACAGGCGCACGCCACAACGCCTTGTCACAACTACTAGTAGTTTAGATGCCACCCGCTTTGTGATAATATTAAGCACCATTAGGTAATTTAATTTTAACATTTCCAACGCCTTGATAAATTGACGGGTTATGAAGTTCTTGAATTGTTATTATGGATATTTTATAGTGATTGATCGGACAAATATCACCTTTTTTTAATGATCCCCGCTTCCTTTAAAATGGGTAAAAAAAATACATGTTCCACATTCAACTTAAAACGTGTTTGTAATAATGGCTGCTGGATTCACCATGTCAGCTGGAATGATTGGCACTTTCATAATCATTATGGCTTTGATCGACCAACTTTAATTAACTCTACCAAAATGCGATTGATGATCCTTAATGGCTTTGGCTCAAAAAAAACATTAAAAGGTAGATGATTAATGGTACATCGAGTGGCCTTGCACTCCATTGCGACTTGCAGACGACCGAGTTTCTCTTACTTTGACTCTCCGTTAAAACGAGTCATTTAAGGAGATGTAATTGTGAGCCAAAGACTAGAGCATTCTATGCCCATTTGTTGGTTCAGTCGAACGAGCATTTCGATTATTAAGAGCTTAAAAGGACCATCATTTACCTACTCCAACAATTCCTCTAGCTCAACGTAGTTCATCCCGTTTGACGTCCATGGCTAACAATATTTCTGAAGACGTTCCATCAAATCTTGCCACAACACAATCATATGAGACTCAATATTCTCCTCTGTTGATTGCGACTCAGGGTGCACTTACAGCACAGGCACCGCTTTGTGTGCTGGGGAATGTATTCACTCTTTGCGTTTTAAAACGTGTTAAAGACGACTTTGATGATATAACCAAGGTTTTTCTGTATGCCTTGACCAGTACCTACCTTCTCCTTGGTACATGCATGTCTCTTGTATCACCTCTCCAATATTTTCTACCAAGAACAGCCGTGCAGTTTGTCATTTGCAAGTTTACCGGTTCCGTTATGTATCCATGTTCATTTGAAGCCATCATTCTAACAGCGTGCCTGAACCTCAATCGATACCTGATGATTGTGATACCATTAAGGTATCAGACCTTCATGACGATCAGGAGAGCTAAAGTGATTGTCACCGTATGCACGCTCGTAATTTTAATCTCATCTCTTACCTTTTTTCCGTTTCCCGGAACAGCGAGTGGAAATATGTATGATACTCTGTGCAACGGTGGTGTCCCCAAAGGCAGTTCCGGTACCATAGTTTTTAATGCTCTCCTCCTCCTCTACTGTTCTGTAGCAACTCTAGTGACATTGTTCACAAGTATCCACACCATAATCATCATAAGGAGGCAGCTTAGAAAGATAGCTATAGGTCTACGGCAAGTACCTAGGGATACTGGGCAAGTAGATGGACATAATAAACAACTGCCAGATTTCACTCCAACCCAAGAGAGAAAAGAACCCCCAAAAGGACGTTTTCGCGCCAGGCGTTCCTTCATCACGCTCTTGTTGTTGAACTGTGTGGTCTTTATAGGTTGGTGTCCCCTTTTTATCATCGTCATAGTAGTCTTGAGCGAAATAAAGGCCAGCGTTGTGTTTTACTGTATGAACATACTATTTTCATGTAGTGTAACATGGTGGCACTGCATCGTGTATATCGTCACTAGTAAGGGCTACCGTAAGGCAGCTACTGAGGTTTTCAAACGAATGAAGTCGCAATTTAGATGCCGTTGATCATCTATAAAAAGCTGTTCTTTATA